CTCAGCCCCAAAAGACGGCGCTTCGCCAGCTTTCGGCGGGCCCAAAAACAAGTCACGCGCATGCGATGTGACAGTATTATGCTGGTCGACTTGGCCGGCCGGGAGCAAGAGCGGCTGTCCATGTGCCGCACCGAGCGCTTCAAGGAGCCTTTTTGTGGGCCGGGCCGAGCATGCCCGAGCGTCACTTCAGTAGGCGAGAATCCTTCAAACCACCCTTTTTGTGGGGCGAATTCCTTCAAACCCGACAACCGAAAAGGGGTACTTGGATGTTCAACCCACTTCTGTGTTTTTTTTGAGGGGACTAAAGCAAATGGAGGTCCAGTAGTTGTTTGTTTTCTCATTCCATGCAGCCCTCCATTGAAGGGGGTTAGGACCTCCATTGGAAAGTCTTGCACCAACAAGGGCCTTGTCGTGGTGGTTTAGGGCATTTGGGCCGAAGTTTTTGGGCTCCCTTGGCAGGAGCTGACCTTGATCAACCGATCGCTGTTCCACTTGGCCGCTTTTCTGCAACGGGCAGGGCAAGCGGTGAAGATGGACAAAATCCATTTCGCACCGTTCAGAAACCATGGGATGATTCCATTCCTCTGTAAATATCAGCCAGCAATGGTTTCCATTGGTTTCCAGGTGGTGCGAACGGATTTTGTTCATCCACAGTAGATTCAGTTGCGGCTGTTGTAGCTGGTGAAGTGCACGAGCCTGGACAAACCAGCAGGCAGAGGGCATGGCAATTCTTCGGCTTTTCATTGTTGCCTTAGCCACTCCCGTCAGCTTCATTGTTGCCTTAGCCACTCCCATCAGCGTTGCTCTCTATCATCTCAACCCTCTTTTTGCATTTACGGCTCCTGCCCATGGGCAGGAAACACGTCTCTTCAGTCTGCTTTCAGGTTGTCGATTCCTTCCACCGGTCATAGCCTGATTGGATCACAGACGCAAAGCCTGCAGGGCAGCCAACGCTTCTCGCTCATGAAAGCTCCAACACGCATGCGTCCTTCCAGCGTTGAGATTTGGGGGGGCAAGGCAATTGTGAAATGCTTGAATATATAAATGTGGTTGTTATGGTTGTGATATATAAATATATAAAATCATTACCGTGAAAGGCAATAGCGAAAGGTTGTTTTTCATCTACGGAAGTAATGATTCTTGCTCTGGTGGTGGTGCTCAAACACCTGCGCAGATGCGTCGTTTCAAGTCGGTTAAATGAGCCCAAGGTATGCACACACTTCGGCCAGTGATGAGCTTCTTTGCTCCATTGGACGCAGTACGTTGTCATAGGTGTTTGTTTGATCGGTTATGGTTAGAAATAGATGGGCCCTACTGGTTTACATGGGCTTTCCATGGAAGTTTATATGGGCTGTCTGCCCCATTTACCAAAAAATACATCGATTTTGTCCAAACGATCACCCATGATTCATGATCGTTGTGGTTTTGTGGGTACGGAGGCGCTCGCCGAGCCAGCTTGCTAAGCGACAAGCCCTACTATGTGTTGTGTTCTTCTCGTATTCAAGTGCAGCTTGCCTTCGCTGTTCTTGGTTGTTGTGCTTGGCATTTTGGTTTTGTTTCGTTCTGGTCATGTTTAGGGGCTGCAAAAGTCAACGTTTGTTTGCTACGGGTTGTGCAGCTTGCTCCGCAATGCTTCTCGCCGTTTTGTGCTAGGCCCGATGTGTCCGAGAGCTTGCAGCGGCGCAGGCTGTCGCAAGCAGATCGCCGGGGGGGTGGTCGAAAAGGGTCTGAGGGTTTGAGGGTCTGAAGGTCTCTGATCCCTGGCATTGTGACAATCCGGGGGCTATTTTGGGCTATAAGGTACGTTGGATGATGCGCCAACCCCATGGCCATGCTTCACTTGGCATGCGGTGTCTCATAATTCGGTCGATGAGGCAAGCCACACCCAGTTGTCATAGCACCTCATCTTCACGTGGGGTCGCTTTGAGAGCCCAGCCATGATGAATGTCCCCGGGAAGGGCACCCTATTACTTCATGTTGACGAATTAGTGTCATTGCATATCATCGCTACAATCACACCACATGCTCAAGTTGCCCCAATCAGAAGATATGAGGCTCCACGAACCTTAATGTTAAGCTTCATGATGTCATGGTTGGCCTTGACTAATTACAAACTATGACTGGAACAGTAATTATATAATCTTATTTGCAAGCTGCAGCATGCTTCGTAAACAGTTCCTCTTCCACCACTTGTTCGGCTGATTTACTAAGTGTCGCAAAGCAAACCCAAACTGACGGATCTAGCACAACACGAACAAGCTCGGCAAACCAACCGGGTGCCCAAGCTGTCTCCGACTGGAGCAACACCACGACATGTAGGAAGTCTCTGGCCAGCATGGAGGCGCACAGACCTTGAATTGCCACATCGACCTGCAACCCGCAAACTGCGGCAACGTTACAGTTATGGCAACGGCTCTTGACACGTGCATGCCACACAGTATTACGTAGCACAAGAAGCAGACATGGGACCTTCAAAGAACGATATGTACTCATCTGCAAACCGGGTCTTCGAAGACCGATATCCCTGTGATATTATTCACATATGTTTAGAGGTCAAATACCCGCCAGAAGCTTGGCATTTACTAGGCCAGATGGCTTCCCCAGCTCATGTTCTTGTACCAGCACCTTATTTTCAAAGGGGCGCAAAAGTTGTATGTGTCAAAGACTGAATGGATACGTCCGTGTATGAACCCCTGGTATCAACCTCTAGTTTATGGGTTACTTAACCGTTAGTTATGGCTTAATTGTAGGAAATCAGCCCCCAAAGGGTCCGGAATGGCCATGGGGACATACGAATCAGCTTGTCGAGATCCAGAAAGACTGCAGGTTGATTCCGCCAGAAGTCCAAGCTGGAGACCCCAGCGACCGGCGAGCGGATTGAAACATGGGGTCAGGGCGCCTTAGGTTTCTCCTTCTCTTTTGACATGGCTGCCAATTGAAATGAAGCGCCCTTTCGGTGACGTTTATACAGAAAATATCAAATTGAAATGGAGCGTTCATGTTTCGTGCTTAACGAAGATATCAACGACTGGTTAGAACCGCTCCGAACATTTACGGGGAAGCTTTCTCTTGGCTCTTTTGGACACTCCGAAGCAGGGAACCTGAGTTTGACCCGTTCCCGTGCGACCCTTCCAAATGATCGGAAACTCATCGATTGGTGATATTCCGCATGATGTAATATGCCAACAGCACCAAGATGCGTCCTGTTCCTCCCCAGTTGTTCCCTTTTTGCTGAAAAGAGAAGGAAAAGAAGGTGACCTTTTGTAATTCCCCTTTAACAGAAAACCACAAACAACGAATCAGTTGGTATTGTGATTGGGGTAGCGTTCACAAGAATGAACAGGAGGCCAGCTGCAGGTACACGCACCCATGAAAGGAGCATCAGCATAATTGTTAGCTCTTGACAAGTTTGGAGTGGCACTTACTCTATGAACGTGTGTGTGTGTGTGTGTGTGATTGGCCAGTGTGGTGTGTTAACCCTATGAATGGCAGACATGTGAAGTGTTTCCGTCACACAGTACTTGGGAACCCACCACACCATTCATATAGTTCTTGCTCTATGGTCATTGCTGGGATTCACGGGCATGATTATGAGCCAGAAGCTGCATCATGAATGCACCCTTGTAGGTTTCGGCGAATCAGCGGATACACTCGACTTGGAAGGAAGGTGGCTCGTTGCGGATCTATGCTTGGCTCTTGCGTTGTTGTGTATGTTTTTTGGCCCTCAGTGCACAGTCTCCTTTGGCAAGATGCCGCGGCTAGCATACACCTGGCTGCCTGGCATTTTGTTTGCCATGGCAGACAGAACAGCCTTCTTCTCACCTTTTCTTGTGGCGACGGGCGATCACCTCATGTTTCATTGGTGCATGGTCGGCCCAGGGTCCCTGTGTTGCAGGTAGCATCAACATGTGTGTACCTTGTCAAATGCGCTCATGAAACAAAACATGTGCTTGGATTGCGAGGGAGGTCTTTCCATTCACACGCCAAGGTAAAGACAGTGCAGCCTGGCACCATTTTAGGCCCGCTGGCATTGCGCGGGTACGGGGCGTTGCGTTGATTCGCGGATAGAAACCGTTTCAAGCCCCTTGGTCTTGGCATCGGAAAAAAAAAAAAAAAAAAAAAAAAAAAAAAAAAAAAACAAACATTGCCCCCGCATTCAGCCACAGCACGGCTTCTCATTGTGTTTGTTCTGAGCAATGCTTGAATTTGAAACTGGTGTGGTAGACGCCAGAGGTTTCGAGAGACATGCTTTGAGCCGAGATCGTCTTGGATCTTGCTCTGACATTGCCATCAATCTCTCTGCTTCGTTCAACATTGGGGTAGAGTGAGGCTGGGCCCAGCACATGTGGTCGGCCCTAGCAACTTTGCTTTGAGGGCGAGAGCGGCCTTGTCCTGAGTGTATCTTGGAGGCAGCAACTTAGTGTCTGCGTGAGTTGACTTTTCTCTTTGCCGCTCGAGGAGTTGCTTGCATTTGGCACGCCAACATAGCCTCTCACAGGCTTCAAACCATCAAGCTCCCTTCGCCTGCCTGTACGGTTGTGACATTGCTCGTTTTGAGGCTCAGGTCAAAACATGGTCAAATTGGCTCCTTTTTTGAGACTCTGATCCGAGATTTTGAGACTCTTCGGGGGTGGTCAAAAGGTCGGGGCCCAAAAAAGAGACCAACGCGTGATCCGGGCCTTTGAGCCAAGTTTTCAGGTGGCCCTTTGAAACTCAGCATCCGTCTGGTTTCTCGGGATTGGAAGGTGTTGCTTTAGCCTTGTTGGCAACACATCGCGGGTTGTTGCCTTAAGATCAAAGCCGAAACGGCCAAGAAGAAGTCCTGCACCCAACCCCGGTTTCTCATGAGACACCCATTTTGTGGTCTATTTGTATCAGTGCATCAGGCAACCCGTAGTTGGTGGTTTGGATTGGTTTGGGGATTTGAACCCCTGGTTCTTGAATGGGAAACCATCCCGGAAGACCTCCAAACCACCGCGCTCCAAACCATACATTTTGCGATGTACCAGTGACTATGTACCTCATTTTAGGCATCATGTTTACCCCGGATTAATAAACCCGTCCTGGAATAGGGGGGTGTCCCCCTCCATGCTTCCAACCGCCAACCCACGGACACCCTATTGATACACTGACATTGATTGATTCGGGGTTGACAATTGCCCGAAGAAGGTTCCAAATAAATGGGCGTGCCTTTGTTTAGGGGGGCTTTCTTCTGGTTTCCTTTAAGCACCACAACCAAGGGGTACGGGGCTAAGAAAGACAGGCCAAAATGGGGCCGCTTGCCAGTTCCTGCCTGGCAAAGAAGCCATCCCGAAGCTCCAAACCACCCACACCACCAAATCTTTGCACCCCATTTGGCGGTTCCCAGCCGTCCGGTTCCTTAGCCTTTTTAGTTGTTTTTAGTTGGTTTAGACACACAAGTGCGTTGGTCACTTTTGGCAGGGGATCATAAACCGGACAGCCCGGTTATGGTTTGGTGTTATCTTGTCCAAGGAAGCGCAGTATCCTGGGAGCCTTGTCCTGCCATGTTTTTATTTGCTTCCAGGGGGTTGGCTCCCAAAACGCCGCCTAATTCGGGGGTGACTTTGACAGCCCAGTTTGGTATACCAAGCCGTTCCATTTTTGTGGAATCGATGGGCCAGGAACTCCAAGCTCACCATGGTGCTGGGCCATGCCCTCGCGGGGCCCGGGGCTCCAGGAGTGTAGCTGGACAGGTGGGTGGTTGTTTTGGTTTTGTTCGGGGGGGGGGGGGCTTGTTTTTGTTTTTTTGGTTTGGATGGGGCCGGGGGGGTGGGGGGGAGGAATCCTTTTCGAGTTGTGTTTTTAATGGTAAACCAAGAGAAAACCAACAATTTGTGTGTGTGTATGTGTTCTGTTTCTAGTTGGGTACATTTTTGGGGTTGGTTTGGAAGGGAAAGCCGGAGGAAACCAATAGTTTTTGGAGGGTCCCCCGAGAAAAGACACACAAATGTGGACATAGATTTACATCATATGAATGTGTATATACAACACACAATGACAGCGGGCGGCCTGGGGGACCCATACCAGTGGGGCGAGGCGGGAGCAGCAATACATATATATATATATAGTACAGGGTTCCCTTTCTTTGCCGACTACCCCGAGGTAGACTTGAGCCCAGGGGTGGTTGATTTCCCGTAAGTGTACCTCAGGGTAGTCAACAAATGGATTTCTGCATATGTATATGATATGTATGTGCATACAAACAAATGCCCATAAAAACCACATGCGATAGTTTGACTCTTTCCATCCTAAAGCGCAAGTTCACAGCCGTCATGTTAGTTAAGGCCGCGCGGTGAATAGCAGCAAAAGCCAGGGTGTCAGAGAGAATGCAATTGTTTGACGTGCCTGACGCCACTGAGACTATCAGATGTTTCGACGTTTGAAAGCCGCGGGTTGAATCACACAAAGTTGCGCTCATGGAACCCAAATTTCCTCACCTTCCTCTCCCCTTTCTTCCCTTTTTCGGATTCCACATCAATTTGCAGCTTAGGGAGCCCCTTGATTTCCCCCCAAGAAAGGGCGAACAGTTTACTTACTTGGGTGTGTCTTTATATTGAGAGACCCCAGTGTGTGTGACCCTTGTATATACAAATGCACAATGCGGGCGGCCTGGGGACCCATACCATTGGGGCGAGGTGGGAGCAAGCAGCACGGAACACGGGACGGTAAATGAATAAATACATGAATAAATAAATAAATAAATGAATGAATGAATAAATAAATAAATAAATATAAAAAAATAGTATAGATACAGGGTCCCTTTTCTTTGTTGACTACCCCGAGGTAAATTTGGTCGTCCCTACGCCCTCCCAAAAACCGGGCCCGGCTTGAGGAACTCCCACACCTCGGTCCTGGGCACCATCTCCCCGGCGCAGAACGCCTTCGAGGCGCGAGAAACGTCTCCGGCGTGGACGGGTCCAACGGAGAAGACGTGTGCACCCGAATCCACTTAGTTGTTTCCTGAAATGAATATAATATGATATATATATATATATATATATATTATTTTTTTGTTTATTTGTTTATTTATTTATTTATTTATTTAATGTTGGCACTTGATTAATAAAGGCCCCCCCCCCCCCCTGAACAATGGAGGCGCCAAAATAATGGGGGTGCACTTTTGGGACGTCCAAACAATGGAGGGTTTTGGGGCCCAATTCTACTTTAGTATTGCAGCCACTTCCTTTTTGCAGTTCTACTTTAGTATTGCAGCCACTTCCTTTTTGCAGTTCTACTTTAGTATTGCAGCCACTTCCTTTTGCAATTCTACTTTAGTATTGCAGCCACTTCCTTTAGTATTGCAGCCACTTCTTTTTTGCAATTCTACTTTAGTATTGCAGCCACTTCCTTTTTGCACTTCTACTTTAGTATTGCAACCACTTCTTCCTGAGCAGACTTTTTGGAATACTGCTTTAGTATTGCAACCACTTCTTCCTGAGCATACTTTTTGGAATACTACTTTAGTATTGCAACCACTTCTTCCTGAGCATACTTTTTGGAATACTACTTTAGTATTGCAACCACTTCCCTTTCAGTTCTTTCTGTAGCCATTCAAAGGAGTTTGCAGTTTCAGGGCTGGGGATGGTTTTCACCGTTTCTGAGGTACACAATCTTCAGCTTGTTGCTGAAGGAGATTCAGAGTTTGGGGGGGGGATGGTTTTTTAATTAAATTTGCTTTGTGGAGTTTTTTTTTGAATTTTCCCCCTGGCCAAAAAACTTTCTATTATTCTGGTCCCCTTAAACAATCACATTATTGTGGTTCAGTGGGGTCTGTGAGGGGTACCCTTGTCCTGATTGTTTTTTTTGCATTTTTTTTTAGCACGGTTTAATAAAGAGTTTGCAGTTTCAGGGCTGGGGATGGTTTTCAAATTTCTGAGGTACACAATCTTCAGCTTGTTGCTGAAGGAGATTCAGAGTTTGGGGGGGGGATGGTTTTTTAATTAAATTTGCTTTGTGGAGTTTTTTTTTGAATTTTCCCCCTGGCCAAAAAACTTTCTATTATTCTGGTCCCCTTAAACAATCACATTATTGTGGTTCAGTGGGGTCTGTGAGGGGTACCCTTGTCCTGATTGTTTTTTTTTGCATTTTTTTTAGCACGGTTTAATAAAGAGTTTGCAGTTTCGGGGCTGGGGATGGTTTTCAAATTTCTGAGGTACACAATCTTCAGCTTGTTGCTGAAGGAGATTCAGAGTTTGGGGGGGGGGGATGGTTTTTTAATTAAATTTGCTTTGTGGAGTTTTTTTTTGAATTTTCCCCCTGGCCAAAAAAACTTTCTATTATTCTGGTCCCCTTAAACAATGGGTGTGAACCAGAATAAGGAAAACAACTTTCTATTATTCCGGTACCCTTTACTAATCGAATGCCAACATTATTTCGCTTGTTGGTTTTAAAGACCCGGTGTTCCTTTCAGTTTCGCTTTCCCACCAGAAAATGGGGACAAACTCAAAGAATGACACCCCCAGTTGCTGAAGTTTGTCTTACTTTTTTTCTCTTGGTTTTGAAAGGGAATCGATTTTACTGGAAATATGCTTTTATCTTTTCCCGAGGGCGAAGCAGCAAACGGAAGCCCGGAGTCCATTTGACCATACCACGCACTTAAACCCTTGGGTTTGCCTGTTTGGAGAAAGCAACCAAGCAGCTTGTTGTTGGAGGCCCTCATGTCCAGTTGAGCCCAACTTCCCAGCCGGATTTCTGCTTTGGCTCAAGATCCGTGAAAGTCTCGCGAGAGCCTATGGACCACGCTGTGACTGCGAGTTGTGAAAGTGACCCGCGATGACCCATGAAAGCTGCGCAATAGAAGTCGCGAAAGTGTTTCTAAATCCTTTCCGGGAACAAGAATTGTCAGACAACCGCTAGGAAACTCCTATACACCAGGTATCTCCTAATTGTTGGTTTGGCTTGGTGGTTTGGATTTGGATTTGAATCCCTTCTTTCAGCGGGTGAATGGGAGACTGTCCTTAACCACCAACCCACAGAGGGAAGCTGAATATACGCACCTTACTCCCTGACTTCCTGGACTTTCGTCACTTTTTGGGGTTTGACGGTTTGACCACTTGAGTCGTACATTAAGAGTTTGGTCGCCCTGTTTGGCCAATCCACTGGATGGGAAGTGAGGCGCATCGACACCTCGAGGGTTTTAAGACATTTTCAGGACTCCTTGGCCACGCTGCGCTTCTGTGAATCTGTGAAGCAGGCGCCGGCGCAGCGATGGGGTTGGGAGGGTCGAATCCTCGTCTCCCGAAACAAGGGCCCGGTTTCCTCTTGGTATCTGCCCTCAAAGCAAAAAGCAAGGCCAAGAGGGGCGCCTCTAGAAGATCATAGGTCGGTGATTCATAGAACATGCATAATTTGTTTTTTGACTCATTTTTTTGGGCAGTACAATGAGTAACAAGAAAGCAAATGGAGCCATGGCAGCCCTCATATTTTCTGGGAAATCTATTGTGTGATTGTGTGTCTATTGGCTGATGCTCACAGACCTCTATCCGGTCAACAGGTATGAGTTGTCCAAAGCCGACCTTTTTCTTCGCCTTTTGGGTTTCCCTTGGTCCATTTTCGTCAAGGTCCCAAAAGGTACTTTTAATTGCCAGATCTTGGGGAAGTGCATGGAACGAGGGAAGCAAGCATTGTGTGGACCTTGAGGTAGCGTCAATCATCTTGTCACCTACAAACCCGAAGGATTTAGAGCGGCAATCCTGACGAACTGTTTTTGGGATTGCCTGATTTGATGTGCATCATTCTTGCCAGCAGGCCTGGCCGACATCAGCATGATTATTGGGGAAGATGCGAGACTCCCCCCCAAAGAAAATGCTGCTCCCCGTCTAGCTCCCTTGGAGCCATTCCCAAAAAGGGACCCTCAAGAAGCATCCCCTTAGTTATTTTTCGTTTCGCTGAGGTGCGAACGAAACCTGCACTTCCAGCATCACAGCGGGAAGATGTGGTCTTGGAGTTGCAGGACAGGTGAGTGGCTACAAGGGGGAAAGGAGAACTGTGCCTTCCTTGATGTTGCCGCTTGTGTCAAACGCAATTGTGTTGATCAAACAAGCGTTGCTTTTGCAGCCGTCCTTTGTTGCTAGAGCATGCCAGAGCAATAAGGGATTTGTTATCGTTCAGCGCTGCAAACGTTCAGGTGACTGTTTAACCGTGGAAAGCGAGCGAAGTAAGTACCAGGATCTGGCAGGGAAAGACTCCACCCCCACTTCCTAAATATACCGTTGGAGAATGCGTTTTGTGCATCATACTTTGCTTGACAATAGCTGCACACTTCTTGTCATATAAAGTTTCCCACCAGGTATGCGCTGAGTATGAACAGGATGCACCCACACATAGCAAACCTTATGTCCCAGCGCGTAGCCAATGTTTAAGAGCATTGTGGGCATGTTGTGCAATTCAAGTGGGTGTGCTTGATTATGGGGACCCCCCCAAACGCTGGGTGTCCTTTGGCTTCCCTTAAAAAAACACGCAAGAAAAGGGTACCCTTGAAAAAAAAAGACACACTCAACTGTTGCGAGTCGCGAGTGCCGGCAGTTTCTTTCATCAAATTGTGACAGCCCAACGCTCATCACAGGGGCCATCATCCCTGTGCGTGCCTGTGGATGTCTTATGGCAGCGCGGGTTCAGGGCATTTGAGAAACGTTCAGACGATGGAAGTAGAAGTAGCTTCAGGGGTCTTTCGTTTTCCGACTGTTGCTTGCCTGGATCTGCATTGGAATGCGTTGAACTATTAAGCTGGCAACCGAGTCTGTGGGTTAGAAACATCCACAAAACGCCGCTCTTGGGTGGCTCTATCGCTGTTTCTTAGCTATATAGCATTATGACTCAAATTATGACATCGTTTGCTGGATCCCATTGAGTATGGCTCAATCTTATACATGGAACCCACCTCGTGGCTCTAGCATGGAGGCTTCTCTAGGATTAGGACGCGTGACCGCGTTCAACTCTTTGTCCAGGATGATCGTGGCTAAAACTAAACGCGTGCAAAGAACAAACACCTACAACACACACACCGACATTCATGGTAGCAACAATACAAATCACAGGCATCATTACCCATGTGATTCACTGGGGCGTTGGGCACAATTGGGAAGTGACTGGAGTCCCAGGATATGATCCATGTCAAGTTTCCAAGTCTGACATGTCACAACCAGGGAGGGACATCCAAGTAGTAGTGGATGACGCCAATGTTCTTGAACGCTGCGAGCCATAATCAATCCACAACGGCGGGGCTGTGATGCTTTTCTGGAACACGCAAGTGATGCAAGTGGGCAAGCGTAACTCCCCCCTTGACCGTATTCACGCTGGAGAAGTGCTCGTGTCGCCAGGAAGAGCTTCGACGGCTCGAGCTAGAGCTCTTGCGCGCCAGATCGGCCTGGTTGCCTAAGGCGTTCAAAATTCAGCCCCAGCTTTGGGTGTTGGTTTTGGAGGTTCCCATTTTTTGTGCAAGGGTCCCAAGAGGTGATCACCTGCCAATTCCTTTCATTTCCAGGTCCCTGAGGAGTCTCCCTGTTCCTTTTTTTGGGGAGAATGGAAGCCAAAGCGAAACCATTTCTTGGGGTCCGCCATATTGAGACTTTGGGACAGTGACACACCCAGATATCCCTTGCTCATCAGTTTCCTTACGTGAGGTGCTATGAAAAGGACCGATCAACGCAAGTCCGTTGGAGCTTAGGGAAGAGCTTTGATGAGACCAACACACTGTTAGGCCAATCGCTTAAAGGGAGTGACTGGTACGTTGGCCGTTGGTGAGCTGAATGCATCCGACTGCTTCCAATGCGGGTGCACATTGCGCTTTCCGGGAGTGTGCGTGCACCTGCTTGTGCAGTCTCCCGTTTGTAGCCCCTGCTGAGCTCAACCAGCTGGTCTTTGCCTTGAGCATCAATCTTGATATCGGTCAGGTTTGCGAGGCTTCCTGGCTTGTCATCTTCCATTCGTGCACTGATTGCCGTCCGGCAGCGATGTGAGGCAGTCCTCTCTTGCTTGTTGGGCACAACTTGGGCTGCGCCCGGCACTCGTACTTTGGCTCAAGCGGCAGCCTTCCCGCTTTTCTTCCAGCTGCCAGGTCCCGTGGTGCCATTGCCCAGTTGAATGGTCCCGCTGTGCTTCGGGCCGTGCCAGCGAACCCGCGAGTGATCCAACGCTGTGCCCGCCCAAAGCCAGACGTTTGGCAACAGGCTCAAGCAGCTGTGCGCCAGATCTTCCGCCTGGTCTTGCGCCCTTCCACATGCTCACTCCGCCTTTTGGTGCCACGCAATGGGATTTCTGCCTGCGCCACAAGCTCTGGACTCACGGGCGTCAGGTGCCATGGCCGAACCTGGTTTTGTTCAAGTGTTGGTATCCTGTCAAACATCGTCGACAGTAAATGACCGATGCGAGAGCCATCGGACAGTGCCCGTTGCACACGCGTCTGAACCTCGGCATCGGGAATCGCCAGGTTTGAGACAGACCGACCGGTGTCAAAACAAAACCGCAGTGGGTTTTGAGGTAGGTCTTCTAGTGGTTTCTCGGGGTGGTATGGACGCTACCGCAATGCGTCTGGATTTTTTAGGGCAGGAGAAGGTCCCTTGGAGTCCTTGTTACTCATTCTATTCCCCAGATGCAAGCTGCGTCTCTGCCAAGCTCTGGTTTGGGGCAGCTTTCGGAGGGTTCCGGGGGGGTTGCGGTGCTGGGGATTCCACCGCTTGTTGCCACTCCATGATGGAACTTGGGTCTTTGCTTTGCCACTTGGGTCATCCCCGTCACAAGCTCCCCGACAGCCCCACAGCCGTCACTCAGGGCCGCGCCATTGTGGAGCGCCAGCTCGGCGAAGCTCAAGCAGGGAAGCCAATCTCGTCCATTCGTTTGAGCCGCAATCGGGTTCCTCTGGGGGAGAATACTCTGGGGAAAAAAACCACGCCACGCACCAGTTGCGATGGATGAACCCTGATTTGGAATAGGGGAAAGCATCTACCAACTGGTGCGAAATGGATTTTGGCGACCCACAGTAGGGGAGATATGAGCTAAACCAATTCTGTTGCTGATCCCCTATCCGTTTTGCAGATTGCGGGGTGTGGCCTTTTTTGTGCTGAAAGCAGCGGTGTGAGCGCTGAGTTTGTCCACATCCTTGAAAAAGGTGAATATTATGATTTGCATCACTTTGTGTTGGGACAATAAAACAATATTAAGTCAGTAAACAAACAAAAAAACAACAACCTAAACAAGGTGTGTATATATATATAGGCACAAGCTTCAGCCCAGATCAAGGGGACGATCCCCTTTTGATGGAATTCAACTGTAATTTTTGATCTGGGCTGGAGACTCGTTGCCGATCAGTTCGGACATCCGGAAGATCGAGGATTTATCTGCGTTACAAGCCATCCACAATCTCCTTCAACTCTTCATATGTCATGTCTTCAGCTCGCATGGACATTTGGCGACCGGGTGTCAAACAGGGACACAGCTCTCTGACAGAGTTGTTCTACTCCAGACTAAAGATTGCTTGAGAGTAAACGGTCCGGAAGCTATGATTGACATTGCATTGTTTGCACAGATTATGCCCTTGGCAGGCTGCAACTGCATTTGGGACGATCCTTCCTCACGCACGCAGATCGATTAGAGAGTCATGCAGGATTGCTTTCTTGAAATGGAGGAGGCCCAAGCACGCTTGGTACCCATTTGGTACAGGCTGGAAGGGACGAGCCTAGATCAACATGTTGGCGCTTAGAGATTCAACCTTCCACGTGAGACAAGGCTTTGCCTGGTTTTTGCCGTTAGCAGCTTTTTTGCCTAAAGGCTTTGAAGTCGAGTCCTGCCCTTGAGGACCTTCCCGTTTACTTCGCTCTGAGCAAGGTATCTATGCTTCCTTGCCAAGTCACTGTGGCACTTTTTAAGTCGCTGGATTGACCTCTTACCAGGCAACGCATTAATTTCGGACCGGGCTGTTGGTGCTTTCCATGGGTTCTTTCACTCCAAATGACAGATGTGCAATGATGCTACTGCATGCATCCCGCATCGTGGGCAAGCGAATGCAACCTCAAAGCTGGAGCTGTGCAAAGCAGGCACGTATGTGGCTCAGCAACCTGATCATGTTTAGGTCGGACACCGTTGGGCCTATATGGTTTGGATCATCTTGCACTTGCCGCCACGCAGAGTGCCACATCTAGCCTTTTGGCTCAGAGGATCATATGGCTTGTACTAAAACCAATAGTCTGTTACGTGCGCAAGCCAGCGGTGTATGGGCAGTGCCAGTACACTATGTCCGACATCCCAAATTCGTTTTTGATCCATGGCCCATGAACCTTATTTGTACAGCCAACACCAAGCCTAGGCTCTTTGGATACATTGCCAGTCTTCCAACACAAACTTGCTTTACTTTGAGCTGCTCGGATAACGTGGCTTGCAAGCACACGGATGCAACATGTCCACACTTCTGTAGCGGCCCATGAGGCTGAATGCATCTGCACATTCGCGCTTACGCGATTTTACCCAGAGCTCACCCATGATGGTCCTGAACGTAGGCAGTCCCTTGTTTCCAGTTTGTGAATCATAGTAACTTGCCCAGATGCATGCGCCGAGTTCTCAGAAAGCCACTCTTCGGTTGCCTGGCTATGGGACTTTGCCCGTCCCGCGCTCGCTACGTCATGATGCCAGGTTGGGTGGAAGACCAGACAAGGTTTTCTGGAAGATGGGTATAATTTGGCACTTTGGCAATTTCATTATTGTCGTCATCTCCTCACTTATGAGGACATGGCCACCTTAAACCATCCGCAAGCATGAAGCGAAAAGCAGCTGGCTGCATAAGCTCATGTGGTGCTGCTTCAAAGTGCCCCGTGAGTCGACGTTTGTTTGGACTTGAAAACCGCAGAGAGCCGAGTTTAATTGTATCATCTCACATTGGACTGACAGCCATGGGTATTCGATGGGAGCACAACCGCTCGATCGGATTCCTTGCCCTCCGCATGCCGGGTGGGGTTTGGAACTGCGCAGGCGATGTCAGCAAGGACTGGG